CTATGTATGTCGACTGTCATGAGCCAAAAATCGACCAAAAGTCCAAATTATTGATTATTACGCTCTACTCTTCTGGTAAAGCCGTATCTACAACTCTACTAGGGAGCAGAAGCGCTTTTTTCGCGCAAGCATGCCGCTGCAACAGATCCGGTCAATTGGCTGGACTGAAAGCATTGAAGCTGCTGATTGCTTTGAGCAACGATCGAGCGACAGAAGCGGCAGTAAATTACGATCCATACGACATATGACGAGAAGGACAATAGTGATAATGTAACATGGTGTCCAGCGTGAATTCTGCCGAGACAGGATTGCGTGACGGTATGGCCTAGTTCTCAGAGTAATGTATTTGATATGACGTTCGGTTGCAGCTGAAAGGTGTAGTTTGCTCTGCTTGAGCAGGTAGAGACGGGTGAAGATACTGTGAGTCGCGGTCTTTTGACTCAAGAACATTGAAGACAATCTACTACAAGTTGGAAACAGAAGAGCCAAAGTGACTGTATGTTGTAGTCTCTTGTACCACGACCGTAGTGACGGGCGACCGTAAGTCGGAAGTACAAGGATCTAGCCCTAAATTCATAAAGGATCGTCCATACTTATCACGATCTAACAGTGCTGCTGAGTCATCAAATCCATGTAAAGTGTCCACCATGCGGAGCAGTGAAGGTCCACGGGCTAGCAGTTAATGAAGTGATCCACACCTGAGTAAAGAAACTAGGATATCTGAAGATATATAGAATTCTCGATTGCCTTCGGCGGAACTTTGATTGAGCTAGAAAAATTTCCTCTGGGAGGAAGTGTTGAAAGATATCAAGACGTGAAATCATTAAAATCGTACAGAAGATATGGTTGAGCCCATTATATGTCATGAACGAGCAACTAGCAGAGCATCGAGTGCGGGAAGTGGACCGGCTATAATTAGATCTTCGTATCCTTTGTTAGAGTGTAATCACAACAAGTGTTGTGGTAACCCACTTCAGAAGTGCGTCACGTATACATGCATTATTTCACAAGACAAAGGCCATTTTCAAGGGAAAAGTGCAACGTAATACAGCCTTTCTTTCTTGCGAAGCACGAAGGGTGTGGTGAGAGAAAGTCGAGCTCTCAACATTTTGCTTCAAAACTTGTAGCTGCAAATAGATATTGTGCATTCATGTTCACTCTAAATTCGGCCACTATCTAACAAATGCCTATATATTTGCAGCAGAATAGTCTGGTAGGCTTATCATGTCCAGTAATGTTGAACTCCTTGATTAATTGAGAGCATGTGCCAATCTTATTACTACGTTGAATACTCAACGCGGGATGCTCCGAAAGTGTCTTATGGTTAAGTAGCGGACTAACAACGACAAGGCATCAAATAACGCAGCTGCTTGGGCCACATCATGACTTTTTTCTGACGAGATATTCATCTTAAGTCTTGCAGATTACGCGAATACACAAGTGTAGATTCATAACAAGCAAGCTGTACCCAATATCGCTTTGGCTCAAACGTCATTTTTTTCTGGTTGCTCTAGTTGAAAGCATGAGTTGCAGGCAGATTAATGTAAATTGATCATATTTCCATCTTTAAATAACTTGAGAAAGTAGCTCGATCTGGTCAACTATTTGCACAAGTCCAGTAATAACTTTGCCGACATGACTTGCCCCCTGACATGTTTGCTTTAGAAAGTTGTCAATTGATACTGGGATGCGGCAGAAGAAGCAGTCTCCAAAATCGTCAAAGATTACATAATCAGCGCTTCAACATTGGCGCTTCCAAATCAGAGTTGGCTATTTCGTGTCGTCAGCTATTTTTAATCTTTCAGGTATGTCTTTCTGACGGTTTAGCCTTAGGCTGTGCTTTACTTAAACCAGACTCCAATATGCATGATTGCGTCATCGTATGTGGTCTTGCCAGCTTAAAGCGGTCGGGAAGAACTAATCTATCCATGCTTAGGAACTACTTGCAATTTGATATGCTCTTGTCAAATTCAGGATATACCTGCTTCGCTCTATGCCACTCGTGATCTGTACAAACCTGGCATCGTTGCGCACAGGGATGTCGTCACCGCACATTTAATCGAGAAATGGCATGATAGTAAGTGTTTTACGGTGAGCTTTCCTTTGATGTAAGATATACGCTGACTTGGCTTAAATTAGTGTGCACCGCTCCGACAATTAATTGTTGCATAATGATGCCGTGTTATGCGATACGTGTTGCGAACGGAGCAGATGCAAAATTCTTGATGTTACTAGACTCTCTAGAAAGCAAAAAGGTTTGAGCTCAGTTACCACTTGATCAAAGCGTCTATTTACACGATCGCAATGCACTCCTTTATTACAAGGCTGATCTATTACGCACTGAGATACGTAACACTCAACATCTGTTTGTACCTCACGATGTGACCTCCAAGTACCGAATACTGAACGATCTCTGTGTATGGGCGCCTCAGAAAAGAACAGACATATGGCTCAGTGAGCGCTATGTATTGAAGGCTCAATATGTATGATTGGGTAAGATCATGTGTTAGCACATGTGAAAATCGTCAACAAGTTAGACTCTCGCCGCATGCGATCGCATCTTAGACCAGCCTGCTGATTCCGGGCGAAAAAAATTGGCATCCCATAAGGAGAATCCTCTTTTAGTCTTCTAAAGAGGCATTCGATAATAATATCGGTCTTGAGCTGTTGGTGGACCGTCAGTGCAAGATGGCCTAATTAAACCAAACCCCCAGCAAAACCATAACAATCAAGAATACAGCTTAGCTGTTCTTAACACGGCTTGCTGCGGCCCTATTTGGAAATGTCTTGGCAAGATTCTCTAGAGGTGCAAAGCACCAAATTAGACATTTAAACCGGTTATTTTTCACAAAGAGATGGTCAGATAAAAGGCGGTTATTTTAGGATATTGAGGGTACAGCTCAATCTTTTTGCGCTATGACCTTGAACGATCCGATATAGCGGGCTTGCATAATAGGTTAAGAACTGCAGACAGGTTAATCACATCCAACAAAATCATACTTTTCTACCTACTCCTGTGTGTTTCGTATGCATATGTCATCTGCATATTGCTTTCGCACATCATGACGCTATGATTGAGCGTCACATGATGCATAATTTCATTTGAAGCTAACCCTTATATCTGTTACGAAGTTTAGCCAGGCTGCTATAAGCAAACTGAACTGAAGTGACAGCCCCTCCCGCCAAGTCAAGAGTAACATATTGGTGGATTTAAAAGAACACAAAACATTTCAATAAAATTATATAACGTATGCATAACCACTCAGTGCAACCTCAATAAGTATGAGCATTGCACTTTGGCATCGCAATCTCTTCGCGCTAGAGCTTATAAAGGTATTCTTCAACATGCGGTTCATGCAAGCAACTTCTTGTGTTCTGCGCGGGCTTGTTTACGTCATATCAAGGTGTCGCCCTGATGGGCCATTCGGGTACAGATCGCGTTGTCAAAGTCAACGCAACGTCGCAATAATCCCCTGGAGCTGGATTTTCTTCTGCCGTAGAGCTCCGATGGGAACTGATGCTCTTGTAAAGCCTCAGGTTAATCCATTCGACGACGTAATATAAGGGGCCTACCCAGGATGTGGTCCATCTCTTTACCGACCACGCCAAGACTATCGTGGAAAATTGACGTGTCGCCGCAACCGAGACAGTTCGCAATAGACATATCACCTTCGACCGGCTCTGCTTCATAAGCTAAGCATTTTATTATCAGGTGAACACAATAATGGCTGCCTTGATGTAGGCTTCCACAATCAAATAACTCTTATCAGGTTGACTTTCTCTTACAATTCACTACATGCCGCTTTATCTTGGTCAAGAACGCGCTACGCATGTAGCAGATACTGTCAAATACCTATAACTTCGGTCGTCGCTATAAAAAGTGCGGCTAACCGTCTGTGTCTCACGCTGTACAGCATTTTAAGCTCAATACCGCCGTTTATGGTTCTGACAACTGTCGACAACTTGGAATAGTCGGCTATCTATATTGTAACACCAGGCCTGACGTATTTTTTTGCGGCTGAAAGATATGTAAATAATATTTTTTAACGATTTACAGCATGCCTCGTTGACTTGTTCAAGAACGCGTAGCGCTGGCAGTGATTCGAATTTGGGTTGTCGTGTTCCTTGCACAAAAAAAAGGCTAGACTTAACGAGGTCGTGCTCATAATTGTAGAGAGGATATGTTCATGTGGTCCACAAAGACGCGGTACCTTGAGTCTCTACGGTAACATGGCAATAACATCGATCTTCGTTTTGAGAATGATTTATTTCCATACTATCTAGACTTATAGTGAATATATGTCCTTTTCTATTATACACTACAAATGTAGCTATAATTATCTCGTGGCTATGCTTGTAGTATCGTTGGGATGTTGAGAGTTTAAATATAACTCTATAGCTACAACCATAAAAAAATCGATGTAGCAGGGTCGCAACGAGGTCCTAAAGACAGCACACACTGCAGTAGATAGTTTCGTCTGTACCATATGTACTTCTAATACTGATAGACAGTGGAGGTACCGAAAAGTGTCGCACTCAATTTATTAAGACATTAAGTCGCTTCTCTCGTCTTACGGCTTCAAGAGCCAGGATCCGTGAAGCGGACGTCTGACAGGAAGGCCATGTGATGCTCGACATTGCTAAGCACGAAGCATGACGTAGACGTCGATGTGAGCGCTCGCAACCTTAGCTTCTTGCAGTGTATAACCCTGCTCATCTCCATGATCTTGCAAGCACAGATACAAGTCGAATCACTTTATATGAACAAGGTTGGGCTCCAACCGTTAGTGGGATACACATTGCGCCAGGTGACCCTGGCGCTTCTCCCAGATAAGGACATAAACTGGCTAAGTTTTAACCTGCACCGGTGCCAGGCCAATATATATGTGATGTGGGACTTATAATACGTGTGCAGCTTTGGATCAAGGGTATCACTCTAATTATCTCGATACTGGTTACGTTATTTTAACCCCCCGGTCCTCTGATCTCCATTCATGGAGCTAGTCTACCCACGAAGGCTGACAACTATCACGTTGTCGATAGCAGTAAAAGGCATGGACCACTTGAAAACGATTCGGAGCATTCTACAATGTGTTGAAGACGACGAGCTCTATTTGTACACAGGTACCACCTTGTGGTCAGTAATTTGTCATAGAGACGCTACATCCGTTGCACTTATACGACCAAGACAGCAATATGTTGTGAGCTGAATAAAGCCCACCTGCATTATTTTTATGATCACAAACAACGCATACTTCATAGCCAGCGAATTGCAATTCGATTAAAAGCCGACTTACATTAAGTCGTTGAAAGCTACCAACAAAACACCCCTTAAATTTGACGTAGAGAGCTAGCCGCATCGCTTGAAGCCTCTCACGGCTTACAACACGCTAGTTTGACTTGGTCAAAAATACCCGACACGCGCAGCAGCCCTTTTACAAACACCATACGCTACGGCGGTCACCTCAGGGTAATGCAGCTAGCGGTCTCTTTTTGCAGTTTTCGACATGCCGCTCTTCTGTGTCATAATGTTGTAATGCATGTGATAATGTCAAGTTGATCAACTTTCGCCAAGGCCAAATGGATGGCGCTTTTCATTGCTACAAAATAATGCGTCTAGCCGCCTATGACCCGCAGTAACACGAATATTTACAGTATTTCCATGTTTATCGTAGCTGTTGACCAAGGGTTCATAGTCTGCAATTTCAAAGGCAAGACATGGCACTACAAACCTGCTTGTCTCGAAATTTCGCTTATACACAATTATTTGATGAATGTTGGTGATCCAAAAAGAGTAACGTCGCTAATTCTTGTTTCATTTTGGGACCTTGGCTCAATGTCGCTTCTGATCTCCTAGGAGAAGCTGATCACGTTATACTGTATTCATTTGCTATGGATAAATCTGTCACATCAAACATTTGCAGAAAACAGACTACAAAGTACATACAGGAGAGCCCAACCGAATGTACAAATATTTAGAGGGCTCCTTCATTTAGTTCTAGTTTACTGGTAACGCGCTGGTCATCGTCGTGCGTTCCACGGCTATATGCTGAATTACTTTCCACCGATAAAAAATGTACGGAGAACCATACCCGTGAAGTGGGGCTGTGGAGCCACTGTTATTACGGTACCAATAGTTGAGAGAAAGGATTGGAATTACGCGCTTCATAGATTGTTACAAGAGACTGGCTGGTACTGGCGGACAGCGAGCATAAGAGACAGCGGTTCAGCACGGAACCGCAACATTCAGCACATACTTTATCTATTCTTTCGTATGAGCAAATACAGCAACACGAGGCACCCTTCGGTGCCGAATGATGCTTTTGAATAAGGTGAATATTTATTACCTTGGAAATATCTGCTATAATGCATGGATAAAGCTGATGTGCGCTACAGCAGGTTGCACTAGTAGAATGGCTACTAAGAACAGTAACTTAATGTGTAAGTTGCAGCTGTGGCATGCGTGACGAATTTTCGACCTACGAGGAGAGACTCGTCATTTGTGGCGACAGCAATTGTTAGCCTTTGCGACAGTCGTTCTTCATGATGCCATCACCCGCATTCAGTATTCATGACTGATAAAAGCATGCCAGTAGGCTACCACAATGCTATCAATGGCAACAAAAAATCAAAAATTATAGAATGGGGTTGAAGACGTGCTACAGCGTGTCGCAGCGGTAAAGATGCACTATTTTTAGGTGACAGCATATTGTTAGCGTTTGCGATAAACGTTTATTATGTTAATGTCACCTGCTCCGTGTTTAAATGAACAGAACAAGCCGAAGATTGTCGATCTTAGGAATATACCAAACTTTGTGAACCACTTTGCTACGAATATCTACATCAAGCCAAGCAGCCTGCGAAGCAATAATGTTGTGATGTAATGACACAATACCCCAAAGTTGTCAACAACAACAATGAAGCGATACCTGCAAAAATGCAAATGAAGACGTGCTATAGCGTGTCGCAGACGTAAATACATTTTTGGACGACATCAAAGCGTAAATCTTCGTGGCAGGTGTTTAACATGATGCCGCCACGGAGCAAAACGTTGTCTACCTTGGAAGTAAATCGAGTTTAATCTTTGTTTTGGCTACGCATGAATTGTGAAGACACACAGCCTTCTGGTGCACTGACGCGTCTCTTGGTGAAGTCAAGCACCTGGCCATGAATACTTAACGCATGTGACAGGTTCATGTCAAATAGCTGTCGTCTCAAAATGATGCTTGAAGCTGTCCGTTATACGTAAAGCACTTTCTATTACCATCCCGGGGTTGATGCGTCATCGCAGCTGAAGACAGCTTGGTGATAGCCTGCCTCCATCTATTGCAGCATCCGTGCATCGCAGGGCTTCTCGTGAATATGTCATACCGCTTCTATCTGGCCAGGGCATGTGACAGCTTTATAATAAACAAGCCGTCTCCTCAAACTGATGCGTCTGGCTATCTGTTATAGGATGTAGAGATTATTGCAAACCAAAGTTGATGTGTTGTCGCAACTGGTGACAGCGTAAGTAAAGCCTGTCTTCTTCTATCGCTTTAAAAGCACAGCCAGGCTTCTTTTGATATGTCGTACCGATTTATCTGTCCATAAATAATCAACGCATGTGACAACTTCATGTTAAACAGCTATCGCATCAAAAAAATGATGCGTCAGGCTGTCAATAATACAATTTGAGTCTTTTATTGCAATTCACAGTTGATTCGTTGTCGCAGCTGATGCCAGAGTAGATAACCCGTCTCCATCTTTCGCAGCATCAGTGCGCTGCAGGGCTTCTTGTGGATTCATCATATTGCTTTTATCTGACCATGGATACTCAACGCAAGTAGCAGCTTCATTATAAATAGCTATCGTCAAATATCTATGCGTCTTGCTGTCTTAAACACGCTAAGGGACGTCTTGATTGATTTTAGTTTCACAAATGATGTACTGTTGCAGATGCTCGGCATCCATATACTGCAGCATCAGTGCACCGCAGTGCTTCTTTGTTTGCATTAACAGACGTGCTACAACGTATCTTTGCTACAAAGACGCATTATTTTGAAGCGGCAACATCCATTAACGCAATCATGTTGTCAGCAATTGCAAAATCACGTCACATGTTTATTGTCACAAACAGACATGCCACAGCAAGTCTTCGTTACAGAAACGGGTCATTTTGAAGCGGCGACAACAAAGCTGCAATGTCACGTCACATGTTTTTTGCCATTAACATACGTGCTACAGCGTGTCTCAGCTACGTAGACGCATCATTTGAAGTGGCGAAATCCGCGAACACACTCAAACATACGTCATGTTGTTTGAGACTGTATTATCACGTCACATGCCCCACAACGCTAGAAGACATGCTACGGCGTGTCTTAAAATACAATGTGCATCCTTTTATAGCGGCGACAAGGGCTTTCGCACTAAAATATTCGTCACGTTGTCGACGATTAGAA